TTCTAGAAAGTAGAGAGCGTGAGAATCACATGATCTCGATGACGCAACAATAAGAAGGTATAAAACACATCAGGTCCGATGCTAACAGGTGGGTCAAGGAGGCCGCCGTCCCCTGAAATGTCATTAGCTTCCTAAGCTAATGTTGTCCATTAGTCTAATTTTATATTTGGCTCAATTATATGTCTCATTGCACCTCCTTACCACCACCCCCAAAAAGAGGGAAAAGAAAAAAAAAGAAGCTAGAGCCGGGAGTGTAACGCATGGTATGCCTACATACAATGATCCTTCAGATTGAAAATATCAAATACTGTTCTTGTTATCTGTTAAACTTTTCTTTATAATGTATTTTTTATGCATAACTTCCAGTAGATGCTACTTATGACAATGTTGAAAGAACATTTAAAAGCTAAAATTTTCGAAAAAGACGACTTGAAATAACTCCCCCTCCAGAGAAGAAAGTAATCTTATGAGTGCCTCAATCAACTTATGTAACCAGATGCTACACTATTGATCATTATTCATTAGAGAAGGTTTTATTCAACCACAATTTCTCTATTTCTACGTGTTGAACATTACGTACAAAAAAAGTATCAAACCTTTTAAAGTGAGATGAAATTGTTAAAAGTTATTTTACGGCACTTTTTTTTTACATTATTTCTATTAACTGCAACTGTATGACGAAACGGAAAGCCATGGAGCGAGAGTAGTAAATCCCATGCGATGGTACTTTTCACATTCAGGTGTCAAACCAGTAACGGGTGTTGAGATGTTTGCTTAGAGTTTGTTTTTAACGGAGTTTAGGCCTCGTGTAGGATATAAGTTATCTTACTGAATATGGCTGATAGCGCCAGCGAAAGTGATAGCAGTTCTGTTGATGGTGGATTAATGATGCCTCCATCTCCAGTAACACGTGAACAGTTTCAGAAAAGGAATGAGTCCTTACTTCAAGAAAACAAAGTGTTGAAAATGGAAATCGACACTTACAAGCAACGAGTCAAAAGTCTTATTGAAGAAAATCGAGCTCTTCGTCAAGCAAGCGTAAACATTGTGAGTTTAAACTAATTTATTAATGTAAAAAATAATTTGAATTTTAACAATTAATTGATATGCAAATAACTTAATAAGTCTTTATTGTTAACTCTTGATAATCTTGATTGCATTTCTAATTACCTTATTACATGTGAGATTGTGACACTGATAACGAATAATAATTATTCCTACACCATGATTCATGTAAATACTTCGGTCTCTTTTTCACTCTGTTATTGTTATGCAGTTACTGTTATTAACACAAATAGTAATATTACCAAAATGGTAACACTTGAAATTGACTCGAAAAGGATGCCTATAAACACTTACACTTCATGTTAACTAATTAAGTGTACCAAATCTAGTCAGAAGTATTGATTTCTGTACTAATACATAATAGTATTATTGAACCTTGACTAGCTTCCCTTCAACATTTTGGTTGTATCTTTATTCAGAGTTCAATACATCAGCAGAATATAGGTATTTAGCTAATAGACAATATTAAAACGGAAAATGTTATTGAATTTAAACTTGAGATTACTTTGTTTGTCCAGTCAAACTAACCAAAAATAAATAGGTTCATACCAAATATTACATTAAGTTTATTATATATCTTGGGTATTATACCACTATGAAGGTTTGAAAGAACAATATAAGTGAAAGAACAGTATATATATACTAAATGGATATTCAGTCAGTTCATTTAACTATGTAGACAACAAAGTTGTTTCAGTACCACAATTGTACATAGTCTGAGAATAATAACTTTTGAGATTGAGTGAGTTTTATATGTACTTTGTAATGCTACTCATGTTAATAAACTACCTCAAACTATCCCTAGAGTTGATCAATAAAATGTTATTTACATGGTACACTGTAGAATATATTATAAAAGTTATTTACAATGCATGGGACTCAATAACATTATTGAGAGCTGTGGGGCAATGATTAATGCATTGAACTGGTGTTGCTGTTAGATGGTTCCTGGTTTAATCTCCTTGAACCCAGCATAGATGTCAACTTAAGCACACCTCCTGAAATGCTTGAAAAGAGCATATTCCAATGTACAAGTAGGTATATAATATTTTGATATGATAATAAGCATCGTTTTTACCTATGTACACAACATTATGTACAGATAGGTAACTATCTTGAGAAGTGTTGACATGATGGATAACTTGCAGATGACTAGAGCATTTTTATGTTGTATATAGTGCTTTAAGGTTGTTTTTTGTAAAAAGTTATGCCTGCTAAAATACAGGAAAACAATGCGAGATGAGCCATAAAAAGAATATATATTTGTAAGTGCAAACTAGACCTAAGACTATTTTCTGCTATCCTTAAATGTAACATTAATAGCTCTCTCATGTGAATTTCTGACAAAAATATTAAATGAGAAAGTAACAATTAATAATTAAATGAACATGCAATATAAATAAATCTATTTAGGTATATCTTTAGCAAGAGTGGTTAGTTGCCATTTTATTGTCACATGGTTGTTTAATATGGTCCTCAAACTTGGGAAGAACCTATTTATCTGGACTTGTGAAATTAGTTCAAAATGTTACTACTAATTAAAAAAACAAACTGAAAACATATGTGTGTTTATTTATAGGTAAGTAATAATACTAAACTAGTTTAATGCAAAAAAAAGGAAAATAATTTTATTCTCATGTGAAAATTTCACATTAACTTATGCCACTTTAAAACTATGAAATATTTTCCTGGATCAGTGGCCAGTACTCATAAAGCACTGATCAAGTTTCAGTTATGGACATAGGAGTATCATACCAACACTTTCACCTATTCCACTGGAACTGGACCTCTGCCACAACAACCAGTCAATGGTGAAAGAACTGACTTTCCTGTGAGAAGATAACTTTGCCAAGTTGGACTGGTATATTCATAGGTGCTAGGTAGACATTTCTTTCAGCATAAATTATATGCATATACCACTGCAAAATAAATTACATTGATTCTGTAACAAGATATAAAACAACAAACAAGAATAGGATAATTCAATTGTGACAAAATTAGATTATGACATTGAGCCTGTGTTGCTTTGATTGTTTGTTAAATTTCACACAAAGATATATCGGGGCTGTGTGTTCTACTTATCCCTAATTTTGTAGTGATAGACTAAAGATTTTAACTGAACCTCATCTGTTCTAGCTATATATCTTGCGAGTTTTGCATGAACTGCACTGCAGAAATTCTGCTACACTTCTGTTTAATGTATTATACATATATCACATTGGAAGAAAAGGATCTTTTAGTGTTTTGGTTGATCAGTCTCTTAAGTCACCCAAGCAGTGTGTTGTTGCTAGTTGGAGTGCCTCGTGATTTGAGACGATTTGATGGTCTCGGTTTCAATTTTTATTGCCACTAAACTTGCTTGTTCCTTGTTATTGTAAAGCTACTAAGGCTGTCTGCAACTGTCACCAATTTTAAGCTGCTGATTAGAAGGAAAGCAACTAGCTGGCAGCACCCACCACTAACTCTGGCAACTTAAGTGTTAATAAAGGATAAATTTACTTTTTTTGACATTGTGTTATGTTTCTAATTGTGAATGTTATGTAAACAGGCAAGAATCTAGATTGTCTGAACCATCCCCCCCACCCCCATCCTTTTTTTTCTCATAAATTAACTGTATTGATTAATATTGTATAAGCAAATGTGGACAAAGAGTAGAGAGTCTAGGGGTTATATCACTTTTTGCCCTATTTTTTGGTTCAGAAATTAATTATTATTTTATGTAGTATAAGCAGGTGCAGATCTAGGGAAGAGAATGTAGTGTGTATGGACCCCTCCATATTTTTCAGGAACTAGCAACTGTATTCTTCAATTTTTTTACAAGCAGGCAGGATCTAGGAGGGAAACAACCACCTTTTTTTAGAAATTGATAAAAAACAACTAAGTAGATGTCCTTACATAATCATATAGTATAAAAAAATAGACATCAGTGTTTTTATTTGATTGGGTTATTAATTTTTAGGTTTTCTGAAATCATCATAACTAGTGTGTACAGCAATCCAGTTAAGGCCTCAGTCAGTAACTGATTATTTCTAAGCTAATCCAACAATATGAACATGGTAAATTTTCTTGCCTTGGCTTTTTCTAAATGCTGTGTTTATATTACAGATTTCTTTTCAACAAAAGTAAAATTGAGAATATAATCTGTGATGTAGAGGCCTAATGCATTATTTAATTTGCTGCACCCTGTCCTGTGGACTGCAGTTTTGCCCATTTAAGGCTCATAAGCTCAGCTTAGGTCAGTAAACCAAAGAAATACAGTAAGGACTCCTATAGGAGTTATGTATGTATAATATTTAAAGGGTTTTAAGTCCTTTTTAACCCATCACATTGTAATATATATTAATTTAGGTATGTGAATAATATTATGGTATTGTGCCTAATTTATTATTTGTTATTATATAGTGGACCATCTGATTAATGATTATATTAGATTTCTTTCCACCATAGTTGAAACTGAAAATGATGTATAGGTCTGATGTATTCTTTGATTTGCTGCATCCTCTACTATGGGCTACAATGTTGCCCATTCAAGATCAATTTTTAAAGTGTTCATAATTTTTGACCAAAATTATGCCAATAATGTAACTTGAATAAGGATGCATTTGGCAAAATTTAAGAAATGCATCAACAAATGTATAAGATCTGTGTTGACCTTCAAAGTGTCAGGTTACCGTGAATTCGGTCACCATTAATCACTGAGTTTCATACCTTGTTTGTTTTTAAACAGAAATCTGCATATTATACTATCTGTGCTGTGACCACTGCAGTGATTGAAACTCCCATTAACATTGTAAGCCCTCTCTGGCTTGATTCTCAGTTAGTGTGTAGGCACATTATTTATGTAATGTTGAAATTAACATATTCTAAGCAGAAGGTAGACCTATTTTATATTCACTTTTAGATATTTGTTTGACCTAACTTACATATGGAAAGTCTTATTGATATTTCTTGTTGTGAAAGTACATTTACATACTCTAAAGAAAAATTTTTAAGTCAACCAAGTAATAGGAAGCAGTACCAACAAATATTTTGAAAGATTATGAATAACAAAATAACAGAAAAAAAACAACAACTATGGGTTGACTTGAAGGAAACTTTATTACTTTCTTCCTTTAGACATTATGAAAGTCAAACCTTGACACTTTTATACCTTGAATAATAATAATAAAAAAAAAATTACAGCCATTTAAAATTGTACTTTGACTATTTTTACTAATTATGTGAGCAAATATGGGACATGCACATTCTTCCTAGGAGTACCAATGTAGCATGTATTATTTAACTTTCCAATAATCACTTTTGGGGATTTTTTAAAATAGAGACTAATTCACAATTTAACTTAGCTGCATTTCCTGCATCTATGTATGGAGGGATTTGAAACAAACTTGGAATGCAGTATGAATGTTAATTTGTTCTAAGTAATAGTTCATATTAACATTACTTTTTTGTCATTGCATGAAACATAGTAATAATTGACATTTTTTGATAATAACTTTCTCTTTTTTCACAGTTTAGGAGATCTGAGGCTTCCAATATCATGTCATAATGTATTTTTCCTATTGTCGTTAATATAAAATAATTTTTCATTTTCTTATATGAAATTAATATAATATTGTATTATATATATACCTCTTTGTGGGCTTGACTGAAGAAAATGAAGGTTAGAATTACAGACTTGTTTTCATATTTTTTGTAGGAAAATAAAGATGAGAAAAATATAGTATATAACTGGCAGTCTTCCCCAATTATCTGTTATTTTTGGTATTAGACACAACTCCAATACTCTGTCAAACACAATATGAACTTTCTTGATATATTGTTATCCCATGAAACGAAGACTTACTACAAGAACTGTTTATTCAAGTTGCATGTCATTTTGTTTCAATGAAGACAAATATTGGAAGAAAGCTTTTTATAAACTAAAATATCTTTTTGTACTCCTTTCATAGTTCTGACTGGATAAGGAGTACAAATTGGTGCAAAGTAGTGTTTGTTCAGAAGAAAATACCTAAAGCAAATTCATTGGCACATGTCAGATGGATGGACTGATGTGAAAGAAAACCCTTTAGTCACCTTTGATTTGTATCCTCTATACTCTTTTCAAAACTTGAATCAAAACTAAATCTCACACTGGTGAGTATGTAATTGAAGTCTTCAGAGATGTTGCAGATACTGTTGGGCCAGAGAAGATCCATGCTTTGGTCAGATTATGCAAATACTATGACAGTTGCATTTAAAAAGAAGTATCCTCACCTGTCTAGCTCACATGTTGTGATCCTCCTTGTTTAGGACATTTGTAAATTCAGAATTGCAAGTGAATGTGCAGAAGTAATCAAACAGATTATAAAGTTCTACCAGGAAAAACTCATTCCACAATAAGTATTCAAACATATTCAAGTTGAGATAAGGGAGAGAGAGAGTGAAATTGCTCATTGGGGATCAGTTATACGATTCCATGGTAGCCACACAGGTCAGCATCTTCATTCTTGCCCATATTCACAAAAAAACACACTGGATGGAAGTTTTCTGGGTGCAGTTGAGTGAAGTGCTAGGCCTGTTGCATCCAATCTCACACACTATCACAAATTTTAAAGGTGACTGACCAAAACTGTTTAAGGTTGTCCTTAGGCAGTACTTGAAAAAATTTGTATGGTGACCACCCTTGTCAGCAGCTAAAGAACAGTGCTTGATGATATTTTTCAGCCACTTAGGCTTTTGTTTTCTTTCTGTTCAACTAAAAGTCTGCATATTGGACCCAAAATAGAGACCAAGACTTGTAGACAGGTGAGCAGCATAGGCACAATCATGAAGATAGCTAAGCATATCCCAAATATGGACCTCACTGTTATTTCATATGATTTGGCAAAATAGAAAGGCTGGACACAAATTACAAGGCAGAGAAGCTCTAGAATTATTTTATCTTTGGTGAAATGAATAATGAAAAGGATGATGTAGATATTGTCAGTTAACTAAATTTGCTATGCAAGAGTTAAACATTCCACCTGCTACAAATGCAATTAGAAGGCATTCAGTAATGAAACAAAAATGAACCTACTGCAAATGAACAGAATTGCTAAACTTCTTATTGCACACCATAATCTGCACATATTCCAAAGTGCCCTGAAGACTGGCAGTAGTGTAGATTACAAATAACAAGAAAATTTGGCAGTTGTACTATGAGTACCAATGGGATTGAAGCTAGTGAAAATTAAGAACAAAATTGGTAAGGGTGAAAGATCAGGGGAGGATGCAATGAATGAAGACAGCAATTCTGAATGTTGCCAGAGAGATTAGTAATTCAGGAACTGTGTATAGTGAGTGTTTGTGGTTTAAACCTTTTTGTTTTGTTACAATTGCTTAGAAATACCAAAAATGGCAATAGAAAAAACACTAGGGGGAAAAAAAAATAATCCCTACTATATAATTGCTATGCCTTGAATTTTAAATCAAGAAAATTTCTTCAATAAAGAAGATACTGGAACTAAGTAGGTGTCTAGCATTGGCATTATTTATTAATAGCAATATGTTTTAGGTATTAATATCAAATAATAATTCCAACCTTGAAAAGAAAAGAAAAAATTGTTGAATTCTTGGGAAAGGGGAATTGTGGAAAAATTAGATCTCTACATGTCTTAAATTAATTTCCTTTGCTATAGTTATTACAGAATTCACATTATATTTCATTCAAATAACTTTTGTATGATTAATATATCTTAATTATACATATATTTTAAGTGTCTTTGGAGAGAGAATTGATATATTTTTGAACAAAATAGTCGGATTCATTTAGCATTTTGTTAATGATCTTTTATAGGCTCTTAGCATCTCCCACTACTGCATACACAATTAACAATACATTAGAAACAAACTAAGTACTAGAAGTTTTATAACACTGTGCAGCAAGATTTCTATGCGTGTTCTTTATGCAGCAAATTTAAAGTTTGTATGTTTCTGATATTAATTTCATGTATGAAATATAGAGTAAGCAGCTTATCTGTACTGGTTTAACTTCATGTAATAGTTCGGGCTTGTTCGACAAGTGTGTATTTTGTTTCGTTACCAGCTTTAGTGTTGAATAAGCAATTGTACATTATTATATTTCATTGGCATCTTTTGAGAGTAACAGATTATTTTGTTGAGAAAGAAATTGGTTTGTTTTAGAAAATATAAACAATTAACATATTTTACAATTGTTTGAACAGAATTTCCTTCATACATTATTATGTTTTGCTCATATCTGATTCTTCCTAACTATCAGGAATAGTTTATCTAGCTAACCCAGAATAGGATCAATCTCACCCATGGTATGCCATTTAAACTGTAAATTATATAAAGATTTGTGTAACTTGCCAAATACTAAATCTAATCAGTGAGATTATCTGATAACTAAAACAGCAACTCACTCACTAAATTTACTACAAGTCTCTCCTAATAACAAATGCATTTTGCCAATTTTTAATTAGTTAGCTTTGACATAAGAGGCTTAGTGTGGGAGCTTTTTCTGTTTAATGATCTTGGAAGTCCTCAAGATAGGTGGTGGTTTTGTTATATGAAAAATACATAAATTTTTAGTGGCACTGTAAAATTTTAATGCAAGCACTGTATTGCTTATTTCGGACTCACATTCCTGATTTTACATCAAGGTTGCACTAAGATTACTTGACATCATGTGAGGTAGTCAATTCAACAATATGTATTTAGAAATTCATGTCATTTTCATATATTTATACAAATTTGCTTAGTCATTAAGGAACTGTATAAATTTTCATAGAAAGCTACCGTTGTAAATAAACCATCTGTCTTATCTGCTTTCTGGTCTTGGAAAGAATGTACAATGTAGCAAATCAGATTTAATGTAATTTAAGTTAATATCTTGCTTCTCACTAAAGTGTTGCACTTATTAATTTTGTTAATACTATTTTTACTTATTGATTTATTTATGGTAACCCATTAATGTTTATGTTGATTAAGTTTGTTGGTTACTATATTGAACAAGCAAGCAGTAACTGAGCTTTTTATAAAGAGATTAACTTGAGAGTGAAAAAGCACTGTGTTTTCTTTTAGAAGAAATCTTTATTCAGTGCTAATATCATTTACAGATTGTAGGATACATGTTACTAGCTGTTAATGTATGTTTATAAATGGGTCTCTAAATAATGGTGTTAAAGCAGTATTTACAAACAATATTTACAAATTTCAAATAAAAAAATTAATTTTTAAATGATAAAACAAATTTATAAAGTTCTCTTAAATTTAGATATATAAAATATTAGTCTGTAAGTTCATGTAAGGGAAATGTGATGAAGTTCTGACTTGTTAATTGATTGTCTAAGGTTCTCAAACAAATGGAAAATCATTGTTTTTGGATTGCATAAGATAAGGTGTTAACTTTCTTTATGTATTATTTTTCGTATGTATTGTGGTTGCCTCTGAGTTCTGCTGTCTGTAGAATATAATTATAGTTGTTTGTATATTTTACATGAAAGTATAATTCAGAAATTGCTTTACTTGATCAGTATATTTAAAATTTGATATTAATAATATAGCAAGCCAAGGCTGAACAAGAAGAAGAATTCATCAGTAACACATTGCTAAAAAAGATCCAGTCATTGAAAAAAGAAAAAGAAGCCCTTGCTCTTAACTATGAACAAGAAGAGGAATGCTTAACCAATGATCTATCTCGCAAGTTGAATCAGGTTTGTAAAGATATTAAAACTGAGTGCAAAACACTCATTAGAATGAATTATTTATGGATTGAAATAATAAGGTTTGTTAATGTAAACTGTAATGTTAAAGTTTGATCAAATGTCTCATTCCTGAAGGTTGTATATTTGGCCAGTGATAACAGAACATTGAAAAGTTTCTTGTGATATTTTAGTTCTCATGCTAAACTCTTCTCAAATCTCAATCTATTACTTAGAAAATTAAAATAAATATTTATTATTTATACCATAACTCTAAGTTCAGTAATAAATATGATAAAATTCTGTGTCTGTAGCTTATTTCTCGTTGTTTTAATTGCCTACATTTTTATTATATCACAAACACTAGTCTCCCAAAACAACTATTGTCTAATAAAGCTTTAAATGTGTTAAAGGCAAAAAAATGATAAATTGGGGTTTGGACCCTCAACGTATGCTAATGACAAAGATTTTGTTAGAGATTACAAGATGACTGACACTTTAAACTTTTTCTTCTGTTTTTACAAGTGAAGATATTAGAAATATTCAGAGCATTCTGTGAGAGTATTGAAATTGACCTGAATTGTTGATGGGTTAATGGAGTCTGGTCAAACTAGACTCTAGATACTAGTGGAGTGCCTCAGGGGTCATGGCATGGGCCTTTTTTTCTCTTTTCTCATTTACATTAATGATATTGATAATAGAATAATTAGTAAGTTAATAAAGTTGATAGTATTTCCACTGTGAAAGGGGGAAAAAATCAAGGGATATTTGTGATACCCCCTCTCATCAAGAAAGAGTTAATAATAGATAAAGCACCAGTAGGTTTCAAGCATGGAGGCTACTCAGCCTTAGTCTGTTCCCACTTTGTTATCTAGTGGTGGTCAGCTGTCAGGGATGGAGCCACTCTCCTTGGAAGCTGTCCGTGACCTGATTCAGGGTGAGATCGAGTCCTTCATGCAGCCCGGTGGTATCTCTCTGGGAGATGCTCATTTGAATTTTTATTCTGAAATGGGATATTCTGGGGAGAATTTAGACTCCCTGTTTCCTACTCCTTCTTTCACTAGAGCTTCCTCTCCTGAGGACTCATCTGATCAGCCACCTTCTGCCTCTTTTTCTGCAGTTAGTTGCACGTGTTTGTGAAGTTTCAGAGATGCAAACAGTTGCTTTTGAGTCTACCCCTGATTTTTTGTCCAATCATTCTCAAAGGGATTACTTAGTTTTCCTCCTCCTCCTGATATTGCTGTGCATGCAGGGAGGTTTGCAAAACAATTACATGAAGGTGTCACTATGCCTTCCCCCATCATTTATCTAAACAACATGCCCTGGCATATCATCGTCAGGATGATATATATTTGCACACTCAAAGGTTGAACTTATGGGGTGCCAGGAACGAACCTGTTATCTCTCTTAACAGGTCACAATTTTTGCGGATTCATTTGACTCTTACTACTGTTTTAAGATACTTCCCTTCAAATTTTCTCTGAAACATATAACCGATCGCCTCAACGATTTGATGATGAACTGGGCCATTTACTGGTCACTATTATGACACGTTTGTCCTCTTCAGGACTTTCCTTGGTGTTGTGGTTGGCCTGTTGCTGGGACTTATTGAGTCGTGATGCATTTTTGGAGGGTATTCACTTACTTTATTCTGCCCTTCGAGATTTACGAGAAGTGCCTTTTCTTCGGCCTTATATATTTGCTGGAATTCCAGAATCTTTAGAAGCCAGAGTTGATACAGCACAGTTGCAGTCTTCTTTATCGTCTTTGGCTGCTCGAACCTATTCTACTTACATTTGTACTTCTGCATGTTCATCCCCTCGTGTCTCAAGGCCACCCTCCTTACATTTCTTGTTTCATTGGGTCTCTTAATTGTTTTCGTCCTTATTCACTGGAGATATTTTGCAGGTTGGTATGTGGACTTCTCCCAACACATTCATATCTCATTACCTTCATGATATGGCAGTTTCCTCTTCGAAGGAACTTTGTCTTCCCCCTATGGCTGTGTTGACTACCTCTACTAGATTTTAACATGGTGGTGAGTCACGTGTTATCTAACTTACAGTTATTGTTCCTTTCTCTTCTAAGGTCCCTATTGATTTTTTTTGGATCCCACTCAGTGGCGAGTGTTGCCCAGTCGGGTAGGCTTGTATTTAAATTATGCACTAGCAACCTTTATATCAGTTCTTGGTTGCAATGGGCTCTGTTGAGATGAGGTGTTCCATAAGACCATCTGGATGGTGATATCATATTACAATATTTCTAATGGACCGCTAAGGGTATGGCAAAATCCCCTTTAGCTTTACTCACAACAGTCCATGAGCCCTAATTTTTAAAAGCAAACTGATTTTGACTGATTCAGCTCTAATATCAGCAATGTGGTTCACCTGTTGCACTGTCTCCAGAGGCCTGTTCCTCAGGGCTCCCTAATGCTTTTCCCCCTTACTTCTACTAGTGGAGCTCAGGAATCCTTACCACACCCAGTTTCCAGTCGCTGGGGTGGTGGACAGAGGATTTACTTTTGGAGTGCTGAGTTTTCTCCACTCTTGGAGAAGAGGGCGAAGTCGGGGACACTCCTGCCTGGGTCCCTGGAAGTTGTTCCCAGATGGCTGTAGGAGCAGGACCAACCTATATGGGAGCCAACTCATAAAACCAGTCCAGATTTGATGCTTAGCTATCTAGTGGGGGGGTGCTTGGACCCTCTTATGAACACTGTCAGGTTTTATATTGTTTATGCAGGGGATATACTATCTTCTCGTAAATCTGAATGCAACACAGACCCATCTTTGGTCCTTGGTTGGGACAGTGTTCCACATCCTCTTCTTAATTCCATGGGTAAGTGGAATTCTCCATCCCCACTTGGTAGGGGAGTAAAGACAACTGTTTGAAAATCCAGACTGGATAACTTCTGGACTTTGGTGGTGTATGGCATATGATCCCATCAATCCAGACCTGGGATGTTGCCTTTTGGACTTTTTCAGGTTGATCAGAAGGATTGTCCACTTTGGTGTTGCTCTCTTTCTTTCATAAATCTGGTGGTTCGAAACGCATCATTCTGTGGTTACTAGTAGGGATCCTATCACAAAGATATATATATATATCTGAGGTCCAACTGCTCTGGTCACCAACGTGGGCTATGGGTACTATGACCCCTTAAATCCAACCCGAGTTGTGGAACCTCAGCTGTTTGGTCAGGGCTGGACCATCATACTTGTATTATATTCCACCCTTTTCAATTTTATGTAGTTCTGGGTGAAGAGCATACCTGTTCTGGATGTAGTGCGGTGTTCCCCACTTTGATACCAGTTCTTGTAGTACATATTTGTTCTCTGCAGACACTTTCTGTATGATCTCTGTCCTCACCAGCCCCTCCGCCTTCTCAATGTGGAATTCTAGCTACTAGTGTCAGTGGAGGTATGTATGTTTTGGAAGT